CAGAACGCACCCCGGGAGAGGTCCAGGGAGTAGGGGTGCCAGTACCTTTCGATGTCCCCGGTCAGCGCTCATACGAAGCACGATGAGGACGCCAGGGCCTCGGAGGGCCAGGTCGACACGTTTTCGGGCGGGGCGCGGCCGAAGGGGAGGGATGCGAGGGTGACTTTGGAAAGTCGTTCATCCTTACTATCCGCGTGGGCTGTAGAGGAACAAGAAACTGCTTGCATATGACATTCGGAGTTCCGCTCGGATTTCTTGGAACTGCGTTTGACCCCCGGCGCCCCTGGCACCGCCCCTGGCGCAGCCCCTGGCGCCGCCCCTGGCGCGCCCCGCGCGCCAAGGAAGGGGCTCCAACGCCGATCCGCGAAATACGCGCGGACCTCCGACAATTTATGTTGATGCAAATCTTTCCCGGTAAATCTTAAATAATTGCGACATTCTGATAACACAGATCTCTCCATATCAACCGCCTCCGGGTCACAGGCGGCGTTCAAGCTGGTGCGCCCCGCGCTGGAATCGCCGCCGCGGTCAGCGCGGCGCGGTCCCTCAAGTGGAAGACAAACGGCCGTAACGTGCCCTCCAGAAAACATGGAAGGGCACGTCATGTCAAAAAACACTAAGGACACGTCCGAACGAAAAACTGCATCAACATCGGCGGAAATTAATGGGCACACGCCAATAACCGCAACAACACACGCAACCCCCAACGCTTGCGCACTCGTTGCTCCCATGCGCAAGCTCGCCATGTTGTACTTCTCGCGCCGGCACTTGTCCCCCCCTGCACATCGAGATTATCTTCTCCTTGACGCGCCGAAACTCCCTCTCAAACTCGAGCTCTCCCACGCTCTAATACAAAGCGGGAGCGGAGAAAACCAGGGAGAAAACCCAATGGCAACGGGAACAGGGGGACTCGCAGTGGCAGGGAAAGAAAGAGAGAGAAACATAAAGAGATAGACAGAGAGAGAGAGAAGAGAGAAAGAGAGAGAGAGAGACAGAGACAACAAAGCGACATACTGAAAAAGGGATAAAGGCAGAGGGATAAAACACGAGAGAGAGAGAGAGGATACAGAGAGGGAGGGAGAAACACATATGGAAACACATGCAGAACTAATCAGCGAACAAACATGAGATATAATAAGCAACAGGAAGATAGAGAGAGAGAAATACGGAGAGAGCACACAAACAAGAGAGATACATAGAGACCGCAAGAACGAGAGAGAGGGAGGGAGAGGGAAGGAGGGATAACAAGAGAAGGAGAGGTTGAGGAGGAGAACGAGAGGGAGAGAACGAGAGGGAGAGAACGAGAGGGAGACAGAGAGGGAGAGAGAGAGAGAGAGAAAGAGAAAGAGAGAGAGAGAGAGAAAAAGAGAGAGGGAACAACAGTTCGGACGGCAGGTCGCCCAGGCCTAGCGGGGCTTGGCTGACGCTCAGCCCTGCCCCGCACTGGCGGGAGGCGCCGCAGAACAAAGAAGGGAACAAAAACGCCCTCCCGCCCCGCGCGGGCCGCAGTGGACCCCGACTGGAAAGAACAAGTGGTTTGCGGCGATCGAGGCACGGCGCGCCCCGTCTGCGCATCCGAGCACAAGGCGCCAGCTTCAACCGCGCTTTGGCACGCGCGCGTCGGTGCCCCAGCGAACCGCGGCGCCGCCTTAGGGCACACCCCGCGGCAGCCCAGCGCAAACGCCGCAGAACAAGTGCCAGCTGTTCCCGCAGCCCATCCGTGAGAGGAAAAGCTAGCACTGGCGTGCTAGCGGTGAGCATCGGAGAGCGCCTGGAGACTCCCTTGGGGGGGTGGCCGCGGTCGGACGAAGGCCTGGTGCAGGCCGTTCCAGGCGAACTGAACTCGTTGGAACCGCCCGGCAGAGGGCTAGACGGTTCCTGGATGGTGCGCAGAGTCTGCGCAAGGTCATTGGCACGCTGCTGCAGCGCCGTGATGACAGCGACGAGATGCGCCCAACGCTCCCCGTCTGGCTGTTGCCTGACATCCATGACGCGCAGCGAGGGGGCGCTTGCGGTCCGTTCGCTCCATCGGCGCTCCACCGGTGCATATTGCACCCCAGGTGGCAGAGCGGTCGCCAGCCCCCGCATCCTCGCGGCAGCGGGGGGCGACATGGCGCCCAGGCGGCGCAGCTGCGGAGGCGGGGCCCCGGCGGACTTCCCCCCTTTGAGGCGCCGTGCCCGGGCGCCCTTGCTGACGCCGGCCTGTCCTTTCGTCGTTCGCGTCGTCGCCGTCGCTGTCGCGACCTCCTGATGGAATAGCAGTGGCATCGTCGTCGGCGCGCAAGGCCGCCCCCAGCCCCGGCGGGCCCTCGTCTTCTCCATCGAAATCCTTGAACGGGGGTTCCCAATGGGCCGTGAAAATCGTCAAAGAAGGCTAGCATTGGCGCGCCTTGCGGTGGCGAGGGGTCGCAGGGCAAGCCCGGTGGCTCGTCACTTCCTTGCCCTGCGGCGAGCGGGTTGGGCTTCGTCTGGCTGAGTTCAGCCCCGCGCGTCTGTCTGGCAAGGGCAACGCGCGGTGGCGGCGATCATAGATCGCGACGCCGGCGCCGTGCATGACCGTCGCAAATTTGCATCGCATCTGCGGCCCGTCGATGCCATCTTGCCGCAGGGCGCGCAGACGCTCTGGCTGAGGCGCAGTCACCGGCGCGGCGTCTAAAAGCCTCTGCGATCGGCGCGGTGCGACTTTCTTCCATGCCGCGCCCGCCGAAGTGACCTTCGACTTTCGAGGCCTTGAACACATCGGGTTTGGCTTGTAGTACGCGATGGGTGTTTACCAGATCGGCCTGGGCCCCCGCGACTTCCCGCGGCCATCCTGCGAGGCGGGCCACAAGGCCGTCGACGCCGGCATGGTTATCAACGAAAGATGCGAACAGGCCGCTCAGGAATAGCCACCAGGCGGAGCAGGGCGAGAGGCTCAGCGCGTTGCGCGGACAGGGCCAAGCCGCGCACCCGAGCTGAGTGGTTTAGCCGGTGGCCAGTCCCGCAGAAGACTCCGAAGCCAACCTGACCCCCGCGCAATCGCCTGCGTGTTCTTCTGGAAAGACCCCCCATCGCCCCCCCCCTGGAGCAGGTTGCGGAATGGGCCGCGGGAGCCCGTCCTGCGCCATGGCGGCCTGGAGGCCCAGCAGCAGCAGCTGCTGGTCTTCGACGGGTAGTCGGCAATGCGTTGCGCGAGGCGGGGCGTCTTTCCACAGTTGATCAGCGGACGTGGTTTTGAAGGCGGTTCGCCCCGACTCCCAGCATGGGCATTTGCAGACCGCGCGCTCTTGACATTCTTCTCGGTTGCACCATCTGCGCTGCGGCGATGGGCCGGCTGAGATGCCCGCGCGGCCCCCCCTCTGATGGGCGCGGTCGCCGCCGCGAAGGCAGGTGCAGAGGCGGCCGAGCTGCCGGGCTGCGAATTCAGCTATGCCGCTGGTTCTCTGCAACCAAGTGTTCGCAGAGTAGTCGGGGCCCTGGCGCGAAGAAATAGAGTTCAAGTTATTCGACCGCGGCGACGGCGCCCAAGCCGCGTCTGGCGGGGCGGGCGCGTCGGACCAAAACTGTCTTCTTTGCAACGCTCGAGCACCAGAAGAACAAGCCGACTGGTAGATGTCACCATGACAGGCGGGCGCCCCCGTCGCCGTGCATCGCGCCACAGGGCGGCCAGCATCACTCCACGTGGGCAACGCGGGCCAGACTATGGCAACAGGGCCACTCCTTGGAAGGTCTGCGCGCGGTCGCACAGCTCTTCGGGCCTAGCTAGCGTCGAGAGCGGCGTCTCCCCGCACTTGCCTCCGCGGCCCGAGAATGGCGCCCTCTTGCGCGATGGCGACAGGCTCAAGGGCATGCCAGGGGACAGCGGGAGCGTAGAGGGCCCGTGAGATCTCGGGTCGCCCGTTGGGGCGAATGGCGGCGAGCGTCGAATTGCTGCGGGGCGCGCGCGCGCTGTCGCGCCGGCGACGGACCTGGCCCGCAAGCGGGCGCGAGCACGCGCACTTTCGGGAAGGCGCCCTATACGCTGGAGTCCGGCAATAGCACGTCGGACTCTGGCATCCGCGGCGGGCGCCAGATCCAGTTCGGCATCGCCAGAGACCGGTGACGCTTTGATGTAAACTCCCACGTGCTTCCCCTGGCGGCGAGCTTGCAGCGGGCGCCCGCGCGGTTGGAGAGCCGCCCAGGACCGGCGGCGGCGGCTCCTCGCCGACAGCCCAGGCAACGGCTCAGTCGGGGCAACGTTGGTGGCCGGAGAGGCAGTCGAAGAGGACAGTCTCGTCAAGCGATGGTTTGAAACCCCTGGCAGCGGGCCACTGCCGTCGGCGAACACTGCGCTCTGGGAATAAACGCTCTTGCCCGTCGAGTGCCGCGCCGACCAGCGGCGCCAGGGGGTGTCGGGCGCGCGCCGCCTGCATTGCCAGCGCGGCGACGACGCATCCGACGGCGGCGCGGGGCACCGCGCCGAGGCTCGCCAGGCGAGCCAAGCGGGCCCCCCGCGACGCTAAGCCGCGGCAAGATGGCGCTTCCCACGAATGCATCCACATCGACATGAATGATAGCGAGCGCTGGGCAGCGGGAAACCCGCCTTCCCTTTCCGCAGGCAGCTGGGTCCGGAATGCGGGGGGGGGGGGGGCCAGGAACTTCCCCCGCCCGTTGCACGGCTCTCAGGGCGATGGCAAAGAGGCGAAAGACTCCGCCAGGCAGCGCCAGTGCGCATTCGGCGGCCCACTCGTCTCAGCCGCCCGCTCCGGCGGCAGGTCGGGCGCGGACGAGACGGGCGAGCGCCTCGACAATCAGAGCGAATGGCGGAGCGGGGGCGGGGGCGGGCTGTTCCTGGCCGCGCTCCGCCCCAAACGCCCCCCGCGCGGGAATGGCCTCGTCATGGTGGGCCCCTTCTCTGCTGATGCCGTCCCAATATCGATTCCCTAGTCTGTGCCCTGAGCTCGAGTCTGCCAGGACACTTCTGCGCCTGTCGGGCGGGGAGGGACCTCGGCCGCCAGCCCCCTCTGCCTGCGTCGCAATCAGGGGGGGGCAAGGGAGGGTGCCCGCCGCTCTGCAACTGCGCGCCTGGTGACCCAGTCGGAAGGGGGGGCCCTCTATCCTGCTGACAAGCCACCCCCCGCGTGCCCGACGGCGCGCGGAAAGGTCCGCTGCGCGACGTGCGGAAGTGGACCGCGCTGGAGTCGGCACCCGCTTTGACCCGGGGGCTTCTCGCCGCGCCTCCGCCGCCCGCTCTCTTCCGGGCCCGCCAGGCCGCGACGCGGTCGGCATTGCCACGCTGCATTGACTGGGCCTCTGCGGAGGCGACCAGGATGCAGGCCGGCGGAAAGCCCGCCTGGGTTCCAAACGCGCAGGCGCTCCGCGAAGCACGCGGTTCGCTGCCCGTGGACAAGGGCGTCAGCCGCATCCCGCGCGCGCATCGGGAGCCCCCGCAATTGCGGATGGCCGGCGCGACGCGTGCTGTAGACGCTGCCCCGCGCGGCCCCCCGCCGCTCTCGGCCGGCGCCGCAGCCCATCGAGAGCGACTGCCGCGCGGATTGCCGAGCCGCGCCCCGGGTGGATAGCAAGAGAAGCGGCGCATGCTTCTCCGAAGACTGCGCTCGCAATAGTCGGTCGGTTCTCTGCGAGGTCTGCCTTGGTCTCGCGGACGACTTGGCGCGGAGGTCCACGTCGTCGGCCGCGTCGGCCTCGTCCATCCGAGCGCGGGAAGAGCTTCCGACGCGGTCTGCAAAGGGCTCGCCGCCCGCCCCAACACATAGTCAGACACGCAAGCGGGCTCCGCGCCGCGCTATTCATTCGCCCAGTGGATGTCTAGAAGCATCTAGGCCATGCGACGAAGGGGGCTGGAGACGCTGCCCGCGTGGAGAACGCCGAGCGAGACGACGTCGGTAACGAGTTGTCTACAAATGCCGTCGGCGAAGACGCTGCCGTTGCGCGCGCCCTGCCAGTCCCAGGTGATATACGGCTCCAGTCCAAATCTTGTCTGCATGCACGAGGTCGTTCGCCCGGGTGCCCAGCGGCAGTTTTTGCCCACCCGAAGGCGACGATGTGCGACGGGAAAGCGGGGTCGCATATGTCGCACTGGGCGTCGGCGCAGACGAAGCGCGGCGCGTCTCCGACTCTGCTTGCCACGCCCCAGAAATTGGATAGGGGCGCGTTGTCGGAGCCCGATTAGCCGTTGACGGATACCCCATGTATATACACACACAGACACCGTCGGCTGCTTTCTGCCGCCGCGCGGCGGCACTCCGCCTGGCGGCGGGGGCCGGGGCGGGATCGGGGAAGAAGGCTTCCAGTCCTTCCAATGCGCGGTCGCAAGGAGCGCAGGGGCGGATGGGCCTGAGCGGCGTTGCACACGCCGCCACGCTTAGCAGCCGCGAAGCGGGCTCTGTCGTCAGCCCGCCCCCCCGTAGCCTCTACGGCGCGCAATCGCCCTCGGGGCTGCGCCTCCAGACTGGTCGCCAGGCACGGCTCACTTGGTGAGCGGATGCTCCCGTCGAAGGTGTGTAAGCGGTCAGCGAGGTCGCGAGTTTCCTGGCGGCGATGAAACGTTAGCACTGTCGCGCCCGCGAAGTCCGGCAAGGGCTTTCAATTGGCATCGAGGAGGCTGGCAACGCTGGCACTAACCAGGCGGGCCATCTGCGGGTCATCGCAGTCGGTGGAACTCGGGTCAGGCTTTCGGACTGGAACGGCGAAGCTGGCGCAGGCTCTCGACGCGGCCTCTGTCGGGCCCGCCACGCACTACGGCGTGCCAGAAGGGGTCCGATTAAAGGGGGCTCATAAAATCAACGCCATTAAAACTCGAAACATCCTCCCAGACACAAGGGGGACGGAAGGATGCCGCGCAAAGCGGCGGCGGAATCGTTGCCGTCGTCGTCGTCGGCGGCGGCGGCGGTGGCAGCCGCGCGCGCAAACATGCATTCGCGCGCGGGCGCAGCGTCGCCCGCGAGCCGCTCCGTCTCTAGAGCGGCCTGCGCAACGGCCTCCGCGACTCGTCGCCGACGCCCATGCTCTTCAGGGTGGGGTGGCTGCCGACGTCGGGGTCGTAGCCGGTGTCATCGACGACGCTGACTTCAGGCGGCGCCCTTCGATCCTACTGAATCGTCGGGGCGGTTGGTGCCGCACTGGCAGCGGGGCTGTCCGCAGCGCCCCTTTGTGCCACCTGTCCTGGTGGATCGTTGAGCATGTGTGCATGTGTGTGAGCTGTCACGCTCCGAATTTTAGGGGCAAACGGGAGGGTGGATGCAACCCCCCCTCTGGCCACAGGCCCCCCCAGTGGCCAGTGGTCCTGACGGGCTGATTGGCACTCTAGTAACTGGGAACAGTGCTCGATCTGCTGCCACTGTGGCATTGCTGGCAGATGTACGGGCCTCGGTAGCGAACCTTGCACTGACTGGTTGTGCCGCGAAGCTCGGCGCCTCGCTGGGTTGAACGATGGGGCTACAGTCTGGCGCCTTGCTGTGCTCACTGATCCCGCCCTCGGGTTGATGGCCGTCGTCACCCTCCCCAAGCTTCCATATCCTTTCGAGTCAAGAAGACAACGGGGACGTGGGGGGCTTCGTCGCCTGGTGGTGAACTAGCTCTGGCCATGGCTAGATCAACCACGCGTGGTGGCGGGTGACTGGGAGGTCTGGAAGTCAGCGTAACTCGCTCAGGCGGTGGTTGGACGTCGTCAGATCTTTCACCTGCTCAGTGTGGTCTGCTCCTTGATCGTGAAGCCGTTGCTGCGCTGAATGCCCTCGAACCATGATGCCAGTGCAGAAAAGCCGAGCCACTTGGGCCTTCCATGGTTGTAGAAAGCTCTGATGTGCCTGGCTTGTGGGTGGAGGGCCACGTCAGCAGTGGGCCCGCAGAGCTATGATATATATATGTATACACATATATATCGAGAGAGAGGAAAAAAAGGGAGGGAAAGGGAGAGAGACGGAAAAGAGGGAGAGAGGAAGAGAGGGAGAAAGAAAGAAAGGAGGGAGAGAGAGGGAGAGAGAAAATACAAAAAAATAGGTAGAGAGAGAGGAGAGAAGGGGCACGTTAGGTGCGCTCGCGCCATATCTGGCATCATATCCCTCCATCCCATTCCGTTTCTCTATCCGCGGACGCTTGTCATAGCCGACCTGGAACTCCACGAAAGACCCCTGTCGCGTTATGCTCAGACGGAGTAAGGAAACTTGAAGGACCTGTGCGACGTGGGTGACCTCTGTGGCCTATGGGGCCTGTGAGACCTGCGACACATACGAGACCTGTGGAACCTGTGGGACCTGCGGGACCTGTGGGAACTGTGAGACCTGTAAAACCTGCGAGACCTACGGGACCTGTGGCACCGGCGGGACCTGCAGGACATGTGGGACCTATGTGGGACCTAGGAGACATGCGATAATTCTAGTGAGACCAGCGGGACCTGTCGGACCTGTGGGACCTGTGGGGCATGCCAGACCTCCAACATGTGTAAGACCTGTGAAACCTGTCAGACCAGTGGTGCGTGTTGGACCTGTCGGACGACCTGCGACACTTGCGGGTCTCGTGGGACCTGTGGGACCAGTGGGACCTGTGGGGCCTGCGACCCCTGCGAGACCTATGAGACCTGCGAGACCTGTGGGATCCAGAAAAGTGGCCCAAGCTGGGGCGGGAGCGCCATTCTGAACGACGGGAGCACAGTGCCGATCCGAACATCAGGCTCACGTTGCAACTGTAAAGAACCGGATTGTCAACAACCATCTGAAAAGTTGTCTCGCGCAAATCCTGTGTAAAAAAGGCGGAGGGGGGGGGGCGAATACTCTCAGGACAGATTCGGGGGAGAGAGGAGAGTGGTATTCATAGTGCGTGATTGTGGCAGCGGGAAACAAGAGCGGGAAGCAGGGAGGAAAGGTGGGTATCGCAGGAGGGCCCATTGACACGCTTGCGGCTCAGACCAGCAGGCCCAAATCCGCTCAAAATCGGTCCCAGGGCTCCTCCCGGGGGCCATCCTGACCCGCTTTTCAAGGTGGGTCCAGCCGTGGCGACCAGGAGCCTCCAGGAGGTCCAAGAACAGGACGACAAAAGGCGGCAGGGAGGGCCGCCGTGGTCTGCAGAGCCCTTCAACATGGACCCGAGGCAGCGCAGCGGGGGGCCTTGGACACCTTCCGGCTGGAACGATTCGCCACCTCCGCGCGAGGGCGACGCCGAAGAGCGGCTGGCAACAAGACACGCTCGAGAGCGAGGCACTGGCGCGGGCAGTGAAGCACTCGAGAGGGAGACACCGATGGTGACAGCACTGAGTGACCCACGCTTGGAAACGGCCTTGGAAAGCTACGCCGCGCAACACCGCCCAATGCCGTCCCGTGAATGGCGCGGTGCTGAGCGGTGTTGAGCAGTGTTGCGCGGTGTTGCGCGGTGTTGCGCGGAACTGTGCGGCTGTGTTGCTCCTGCGAGCTGCGCCTTCGGAGTTCCAAGAAGCTTCCATGGGTAGGACACGTGAAAGCACTCACGCCGCCACTCTTGGGGCGACGAGACAGCGAGAGGGGCAGGGCATGTGGACGGCTGCCCTCCCAAGAAGGCAGAGGGCTTCTTGGACTTCAGAGGGGGAGGGGGGCCCTCCTCGAGGTGCCCCCCTCCCCCTCCGCACTGCTGCTGCAGATGCCCGCCGCAGCAGGGCGCCTGGCCAGCGAAGGGGGTGGGGGCCCAGACCCCCGACGCCGCGATGTCTTCACACACGACGTGGAGCCCCAGAGATCTCGGGCGGGCGGTAACCTCTCAAGGTCTCGAGGACTCCCCCCACGACAGTGGAAACAAGTGATCGTTTCGACGCTCTCACTGACGGACTGGGACCCCATCAATAGCGGAATACAAATATTCACCCGCTGCACCCGCCACGGAACAGCGACGACGACGGCGACGAGATGGGGGGTAACCTGAAGGGGGGTGAAGAAGAGGGCCGCCAGCATGGGCCCAAGAGGGGCCCTGAAGAGCCTCCCTCTGGGGCTCTTTTCTGCACCCCCAGCCAGGTCCCCCCCCCTTCCCACTCGCCCGAAAATCTACGGACCTTCCCCAGGACCGGCGTTCATGCCGAGCCGACTTTTTTGACGGTCCCTGGGCACGGCGAGGGCACGCGGGGGCCGAAAGCGGGCAAGCACCTCCAGTCGTGATCTCTGTCACGACGCGAGCAGGGCTGGGGATGGAGGGGCCATGTAGAGCTGCACCAGCTTCGGGGTTGGACAGAACCCCCTTTAGTAAAACGTGGTTTAGTGAAAACGACCTGAGGCCCAAACCTGGCGGGCGCAAGCATGGAAAACAACGGCCACGGCGCCCTCTCGAGAACCGAAAACGGACAATTCACTAATCGACGTGTCACTGTTGGGGGTTCTGTCCACCTCCGACAGCTGCATGGACCCGCCTCGCTCTGCCTGGGCTGCCGATGGGGCCCGCCACCCACGGCCACGAGCTGGCAGCGGAGCGCGGAGCGAGGATGCCAGGACTCCGGCAGCAGACAGCCCGGACACCCAGCGCGGCTCGACTGTTGCCCTGACAGCCTCGCGTCGTGACAGTACGCATGCTGGAAGGTGTTTTGGCCATGTTCAGCCTCTGGAGGACCTTGCCAGGCTCCGGGACATTCGGAAGACAACTCAGGATGAAAAGCCGCCCCGGGGACAGCAAACGACCACAACCACATCGAAAACTCACCCTGGGGGATGTCTTGCGCATGCCAACCATCGTCAGAACACCGGAACCAGCTAGTACTGGCTGCTGGTTGTTGTCGATGTGACGTCCCAGGACTCCAAATCGACCAAAACCACAACCGACCCTCCAGAACAATCCACATGATTGTTGTTGTTTTTTGTTGCGCCTGGACTGGAAGCAGGTCCAGATCTCTGGGGAGCCACGTTGTGACAAAAAACAAGAAGTCGGATTACTACAGCTGATAGCATCAAAGGTGAAGAGGCGTGTCGAGGAGCAGGTCGGCTGGTGAAAACGTGCATTCCTAGGTATGCGAAGGTATTCCTAAGAACGCTGACAGGCGGGACAGCGGTGAAAGCACGGCCATGTGCACTTTTGTATATGTTTACCTGGGATCGTGGCCGCCCGGACCAAAACTGTAGCTGGCATTGAGACGGGAGCACGATTCGCGCGTAAAATGTAAAGGAAACCAATCGACAAATAGCTGGCAGCACTAGGCGGTCTACGGCTCCCCATCCTCCATGTGGGACTCGTGTGTTTTCTGCGTACCTGCTGTACAGCCCTCCGGCGAAACGCTATGAGGGAAAAACGACTCAGAAAGAAAAGCCAGTCCCTGAGAGAGGTCCAGACCTCTGGAAAGCCACTTTGTGAAAACGTCACGGCGTCCGACGTCTGGGTTCAAGACATGGCTGGTGCACGCCTGCCTGCCGGCGCTCACTCCTGAGGACGAGCGTCTACTGTGGGCGGAGGCTTCGCCCGCGTGGGAGCGTGAGCAGGAGGCCGCGTGGCCGTTCTTCGAACAGAAAATGGGCCCCCAAACCTCTTGATTCCCTTCCCAGAAGCCGGCTCTTCATCCTGGGCTGGTCTTCGACGGCCCACGGGGGCCCGAAACTGGCCCCTGGAAACCCCCCAACCAGCAAAAGACCAGCGCCGTCACAGACCTTAGAAGGTCAAAAAGATCCGCAACTGTGCCGGGAGGCACGAGTTGGAGCGCCCTCAGGTCCCTTGTAGTCCTCAGTCCTCAGTCCTCAAGATTGAGCATGACAAGGAAAGAAAAACTGAAGAAACATAAACGTTCGTAATTCCGCGCGGGAGTTGCGCTGAACCGTTAAACAGGCCATGAGGGCCCCGAGAGGCCTTTGACCTACAACCGCACAATGCCGGCCAGCATGTGCCAAACGCCCGTAGGATCAGCTGCCCCCATGAAGCACTAAAAAAACCTCAGGAGGCCATAGAAAAACCCAAAAGAAGCTCCAACAGGCCCCCGAGAAGCCCCCCCAACTGCCTCCAGGATGCTTCCAAGAGGTCCCTCAAGAGATCCCAACGGGCATCGAAGAGACCTCTGACCCACGTCCCGAGTACGGTTTAGAGGCCTGGAAATGGGCACCAACACTAAGACAGGGGGCTGCCTCCACAGGGGGGAGATGATCCTAGATTTCGGTGTTGGTGGTGATACTTCTGTCGCCTTGGACGCCAAAATATTACCACCATCACCCAGAGCGGGATCTTCTTCCCTCGGTGGAGGAACACCGCCGATATTGGTGTTGGTGCCAACCTCTAGGCCTGCGAACGGTGGCGGGATCGGCCGAAAACCACCAAATCCGCCGCCCCCTGTGGCTTGTCTCAGGGGCGCACAGCGTGCCGAATGTCTAGCGGGTTTCCTGGCTCATTTCTGAAGAGCTCCAAGCAGGGTCTCGGTCCAACCCGCCGGCCACCTGGAAAACCTCTGGGTCATAAGTCTTTCCCGCCCAAGATGGCCCCTGGATGGCCCCTGGATGGCCTCCAAGACGATCAAGATGGTCTCCAAGTTCGCCCAAGATGGTTCGAGATTACCTCCAAGAGAGCCCAAGAGGGTCCAAGATGCCTCCAAGACG